GAGAGAGAGAGAGATACTAATGAAACAGCACCTCACGACACCAGCTGAGCACCAGCGCAGGACAAATCCACACACACACTTGCTTTTTCAAACACACCTACGGCGCGTGGCGTGAAGCTCGCTCGCTGCCACGGCAACCGCTTCCGAGCAAGAACAAGAAGCACGAAATAGAAATGCATTGAAACTGCGAACGAGAGCACAGGAAGGGTCACGTCACGTCTCCTGAGAAATGTGTCTCTGTCCCCTGAGGCACCGGCAGACATCTATCCCCTCTTCCTTATCAGTCTTGACCCTCTCATTACAAAGCTGTTAAGCTGCTGGTAATACAACCAGATTTATATGTTTTGCGCCTCCCACCCCTCCAAACCCTTTTAGCTTGATGCGTCCTAATAGAAGGGTATATACACGCACGCACGTTTGCCAAGCAGGGTAATTCTAATTACCATGCGGTTTGATCAGTCTCAGCTGTTCCCAAGCAGATTAATATGTCAGGGCTGACAGAGAGGAGGTGAGGGCGAGCGAGACTTAACAAATACACGAGAGGAGGGGGAGTCTGTTTAAGAAAACCCAGCGTCAGTCAAACCTTTCTCGAACCTGACATGTACGTAAATACAAGTCAACACCGGCAGTGCAGAATGAAAGTATACGTTACATGTAACGTGTGACTTAGGTGTTAAGTCAATAATGCAATAATAGAATGGAGTGGGCAGTATTACAAATGCTTTTTCTGAAAACCCCGTGTGGTCAAATTTATTCGCATTTACAACACTCATTCAACCTCTCTATTAAATATGATGACAGCGAGACTGATTTTAGTCTTTTTCGGTCGCCTTTTTCCTCCCCTGAAAAATTAATGTGAATTAGACTAGAGCGGCCGTGCTGTTGTTAACACACTAACCTCTAGATGGCAGACTTGTAGCCTTTATATCTTTATTTGAGTACATCCTCTGGGTAGGCTAGAGTTGTTCAAACAAGCTAGTTAGTATGTGTTCTAAAAAAACGGAATATTACATGCACACCTTTAGTGAAGTGCAAAATGTATGGTAAAATAAATCCCTGAGATGGCAAATACAGTAGTATTCCCACCTTAAAAAGATTACCTGTATTCTGTACACCCATGAAAAGCTATTTAAAGCACATCAGACAGCTATAGCCACAAAAACAAGACCACCAGGGTGGGTCTGTTTTGCTGGCTGCTTCCCTCCTTGATCCACCTGGATGAGATCCATATCTTACCCTTAATCTGCCTTTTGTGTAGCAACAATGAATGGTGAATATGTGCTTAATTACTGAACAGATCAAGACGCAAGATAAACTTGGTGGAACATGTATAGCAAAAATACATAAAGCGCAGTTATTGTCATGATCTAATGGATCTTCCTTCCCTTTCATTTTAGCACAGGATGTCACAACAGAAGTGGGGAAAAATATTATATTTGAATAAATATAAATATTAAATATGATATTAAAAGCTCCCCTTCTCTTTCTCTTTCAGTGCTACAGTAAGCCTCTCGCTCAGAATGCAGCTGCACGAATGCTAACTTGCTCTAACATTAGAAATCACATTACTCCAACACTCAGATCCCTTCACTGGCTGCCTGTATCATTCAAAAGTGAATTCAAGATCAAGAATAATAAGATCCTCTTACTAGTTTTTAAATGTCTTCATGGAACTGCCCCTATATACCTTTCTAATTTGTTAAATAAATATACTCCAGCAAGATCGCTCCGAACATCAAACAGTAATTTGTTGGTTGTGCCTAAGACTCGGCTAAAAATTGGGGAGTCAGCCTTTAGTTATTTTGGTCCCAAGCTATGGAACTCTCTTCCTGACAACCTACGAGCCATCGACTCACTGTGCACTTTTAAAAAGTATCTCAAAACACATTTGTTCACTAGGGCCTTTCCTTGACTCATTATATTATTGTATTTTATTTCTATTATGTGATTAATTTTTTATGTTTGCTATTGTGTATTGTATAATCAAAAATAAGCAACGAACCCGCACACTATCAATACTTGCTAATTCTTAAACTATTTATCACACGCTTCGATCCACCAACCTTCATCAGGCAAAGCACACAGGTTTCAGGTGTGCTGAGTTTATGTTGATTGTTATTGTGTATTGTAAATTTTCTATCCTGTAAAGCACTTTGTAAACACTGTTTTAAATTCATCTTCATCAGCCACCCATACTGTTGCCCTAAAGGATTTGTCTGATTGAAAAATCATAAAAGGGAGGGGTGAAATCCAAAACAAAAGTGAGGCTTTAAGTCTCTAAATACATTCTCACTGCTAATGACTTGGGGTGTGTTTTTAATGCTGTCGTTCTCAAGTTATGCCTTAAGCTGTGCCTTAATGTTGATCAGTAACCAACATATAGATGAATTCTGCTTGTATGGCAACTTTTTATGATCACGAAAGTTGCTTCATATGACCCCGAGTGTCAATCATTGGTTGCTGAATGGAATCATCAGATTTTTTAAAGGGATAGTTCACCCAAAAATGAAAATTTGATGTTTATCTGCTTACCCCCAGGGCATCCAAGATGTAGGTGACTTTGTTTCTTCAGTATAACACAAACGGAGATTTTTAACTCAAACCATTGCAGTCTGTCAGTCCTATGATGTCAGTGAATGGGAATCACGGCTTTGAGAGTAAAAAAAACATACACAAACAAAACCAAATTAAACCCTGCGGCTCGTGACGAAACACTGATGTGTAAAGACACGAAACGATCAGTCTGTGCAAGAAACTGAACAGTATTTATATCGTTTTTTTCCTCTGATTCACCCCAATGTCCGAACTGTCCTGAGCGTGTTCGCTTTTCACTATCTCTTAAATGGACCATTGACACTCTATCTACAATCTCGATTAGGAGTGTCAATGGTCCATTTGAGAGATAGGTGGCGGTAATGCACTTATAAGTCTGCGATCCGCCGTAAAGCAAGAAGAAGATGATGACACGTCTGAGAACGCTCTCAGGACAGTTCGGACATTGCAGTGCATCAGAGGTAAAAAAACGATATAAATACTGTTCAGTTTCTTGCACAGACCGATCGTTTTGTGTCTTTACACATCAATGTATCGTCCCGAGCCGCAGGGTTTAATTTGGTTTTGTTTGTGTATGTTTTTTTGACTCTCAAAACTGTGATTCCCATTCACTTACATTATATGACTGACAGACGGCAACAGTTTAAGTTAAAAATCTTCGTTTGTGTTCTACTGAAGAAACAAAGTCACCTACATCTTGGATGCCCTGGGGGTAAGCAGATAAACATCAAATTTTCATTTTTGGGTGAACTATCCCTTTAAGTTCTCCCCTCTACACACAAGTATTGACTTAGACTTGATCTATAAAAGTAGATTCAAATGTTTGGTTAGTGTTTCTAGGCAGAAAGTAATTAAAAGACAAACGTCAAAATGACAAAAGCAAGGTAAGTTCTTATTAATGTTCACAAACAGCTTGATGTGTTGATGGCTATTAATGTGACAATAAACACAAATAATGTGTTACATAAAGTAAGTGTATTCCGATATGATTAATTAAGCATGTAATGAGTTTGCACAGGTCTCAAATAAGACAAAGTTGCAAATCTGTTAACAATTCAACTATTCCCTGTAGGGTTTAGATACATTTGCCTTTTTAAAGGCTCAACAAAATATCATGCATGAGCTTCTATAGGCAATTCTATAGGCAATTTGAGTTTAAATATAAACAACATTCTATGTGTATTTTTAGAATGACTGAGCATTTTATTATTGTTGTTTCTAGTGCATTATTTGTGTTCTGTTCCAGTATATATGAACAGACTTTCCAGCCCTGATCCTAGACATTTGCTAGTCTGAACCTCCTTTTTCCCTATTCAAAGGTGTGAACCTTTTCTTCATGTTGCCAGGCAACACCAGCTCCCATGAGGCTTTGCCTTGACTGAATACTGTGTTCTCTCAGGTTCAAAACTAATATTTGTTCTTCTAAAGAAACAGTGAAAGCACAGCAGAGCTTGTTGACACATTGATCGCTTATAATAAACAATGAAACATGATTTTACATATCGTTTCATGTCTTTCTATAGAAGTCAATGGAAATACAAATGCAGGTGGGCAATAAGAAATATCGAATAAGATTTTCCTTCAACTAAACCTGAAGGCAGTCTAGGGTGGAAAGAGCAGTACATACCCTGACATAGAGGACTTTGTCTCCAACACGATAATGGCCTTTTGGCTGCTTCTCAATGCAGAATTTGACTGGGCATTTGCATGGTGGATCCTCTGATATCTGCCTCACCTGAAACAAAGCAACAAAGAAAACATGCTTTTGATGAGGAGCGTGAAGTCATGCACCAGACTGCTAAACACTGGGAAACCTCATACAGTGTATGACTTGAAATACTCACAATCGCATCCAGCATGTTACCGCTACTCTGTTTCCCACTAGTTTTCACAAGGCCATTTGACGGTGAGAGCGGCGTTGATTTGACGGGTGTCCTGATGGGTGATGGTGTAGTTGGTGAACTTTGCTGAGGTTCTGACTGGGTGTTTGAGCCAGAGAAGATGCACGTGGACTCTGGGGGAGGGGGAGGGGCCAGAGGAGGAGAGGGAGAAGGGTCCGGAGGAGGGGATGGAGTAGAGATGGATGAGGGGGTTGTGGTTGGAGGGGGCTCTGGATCAGGAGGGAAAAAAACAGGTGGGGTGGAGGGAGACGGCAGAGGTGAGGCGAAGTACATGGATGGTGACAAAGACTCATCTTCCTCTTTCTCAATCTCTCTCTCGAGCTTGACCAGCACAGGCGGCTCAATGCCATACCTGAGGGGGAACATTTATTCAGCTCTGACTGAGAGATGATTATATGGTGATGACGTGATATAAACAACTTTAAAGATCAAAGCAGCTCACCTTGAAGCAATTCTCCCAAGTTGCATGAGACACAAGCACACATCCCTGGGTTGCTTCTGAAGAACTGGTGAAACACATACATTGTCATTCACACAACAAAATCCTCAGAGGTCTATGATGTCAGCTCAAACATATATTGTACCCTGGGCATAACAATGGACAAAAGACACAAGCTTTGATGGACACATGCAAAGATTCCCAAAGCAAAAAGACATTTGATATGTCTATTCAGCTAAATGACATTAAACTTCCTCAAATATCAGTATCATAACACTGCAAAGTGAATGAAGATGACTGCTAGGGAAAACTAGGGAAAGTTTGTATGCAGAATTTCTCTGAGGAAAATCTTTTTCTTTCTCAATCTTTTTATTTAAAAAAAGTTATATTACTCAACTTTTTATTTTAAAATATCTAAACACCCTTAAAACAAGATCAATGTACTCAATTTTTTAAAGATGACAAATAATAATAATAATAATAATAATAATAGATTTTTATGTTTAAAACAAGAAAAAAACATTTGCCAATGGAGTAGGGCTGCACGATTATGACAAAAATCATAATTGTTGATTATTCCCTTGAAATTGTAATTGCGATTATTAATTACGATCACAATTTACATTGAATAATGTTTATACCATTGTTTGATGCAACTGCATGCTGTATTTTTATATGAAAACAAACAAGCTGAAAACACTCTAACTGAAAAACTTTTAGTGCTTTTCAATAGTATTAAGCCTCAAATGTCAACTATACATCGGATTGGTTTCTTCTTTAAATTATAAAAAAAAAGTAAAAATATGAATGGTATTATAATGTTATACTAAAACTAAAATTAAAACAATGGAAAAACCCTTAAGATAACATGTAGAAAGAAAAAACATCTTAAGCACACAGAATAACATAAGTGGACTTTGAACGATTAATTGCCGCTTGGAACGATTACGTAATTGTGGCATCCATAATTGTAATCACGATTAGAAATTCAATTAATTGTGCAGCCCTACAATGGAGTAAGAATTTTTAAAATAATTTTATCATTTCTTATTTTATTATAAATTTAATCTTTATTATTTATTTGTCTAATCCCATTAGCAAAGAAATTTCTCCTCCCTAAATTTGGTTTCATTTTCTGAAAAAAAAACACAAAAAAAAACACTTATCTTGTGTCATTTTGCTTCAAGAAATCACATCTTGTTTCAAGGATGTTTAGGTATTTTGACTGGAAAACAAGGCACAAATACTGATTAAAAAGACTGACTTGTTTTAATGAGGTAATAGTCATACTAAACACTGCAGAATATTTTCATCCTCTAAACAGCCCATGAGCCTTTGCAATGCAGACACAAAACAAACTTTGTAGTCAAACTTTGCACGGATAATAGTGATATCTTTGTTGTGCAGTGGAAAAGTGGAAAACACAAAGACGCTAATTTGAGGGATAAAAAGTGTTGTTGAAACTTGTATCATCAAGGACGAAAACAGAAATCTGTCTCCCTGTCTCTGACAAGGTTTAAATGTGTGAATCCTTATGAAAACAAAGAAACAATGGATAAATCCAAAATAGCCTCATTTTGAAAGCTATGATTAATGTTGGCTTGATTAACAGTCCCAATAAGAAGAATATCACTGTAGACTGGTTTGAAGTTTCAAATAAACAAAGAATGTCATATTTCTCTGTTTGAAAAACCCACATTCATTTATGTCAAACAGTTCATGAAATCCATTTCAACAGCCAGGCATGTGCATATATATAAAAAAGTCAACTGTGGGACTCTTTGAAAAGCACAGGCACAAAGTTAAATCAACAACACACTGGTTCCGTCTCTGCAAATGTCCCTCAGGTTCTAAGACTACAGTATTTCAGTCCCTTTTTAATGTAATATGACCTACAAACCTGTGAAACTACCGAAACTAAAAGACTCATAAAAGGGGTTAGTTGCTTTTATAACAATTATTGAACACTAGCTCACTCTTGAACACTACATTATTTTATCTATCCTCTCAAAACCTTTCAATGTGCTCTCCTTTACATTTTATCTTTTATTGTATTATATTCTCTATCTTTGACCCTATTTTTCCATTCCCCATTTTCCCCCTGACCTACTGTCCTTTCATTTCTATATCCTTCTCTTTCTCTCCATTATTCATCACACAGTGATGGACAGCGGGGGCCAAGGGTGTGACGCAGTGAACAGTGGAGTGGCACAGATATTGATACTGCCTGTCTATTCAGCAGTTCTTTAGGGCAACAGCCCCACAGGACAACAGCCTGCATAGACAGAAAGTAAGGCTTATTGTAACTGGACATCTCACTTAATGATCTCATGATTGTAAAAATGAACAAGGGAAAACGTTGATCTTTCTGTGCTTAAAATGAGTCCACAGTCAAATTTCTCAGGATTGTTGGTGAATCTCCTCACAGATTTACAAGCACATGCCACTTGTATTGAAACCAAAGAATCTAGCCTGCTTAATCACAAAGACAGTATATCTCTTAAAAATATAGAACCAAAAAACATTTAAACAAACATCTCATGATAAGATAAGATAAGAATACTCACCAAGATCTTCAGATTCAAACAGGTGTGATGGCTCCACTCCAATTTTACGGCACCAGTACAGAAAATTCGCTGTATTGTCTCGAGCAAAGAACGATCCAGAGGCTGCATCAGGCCGCCAGCGAATCACACGCCGAATAAAGGGCTAAAGGAAACAAAAGAAACCAACTGAAATATATCTCTCATCAGCTTAGTATGTGCTCATCTGAATATTTTCCAGTATAAATAGCACAACAGATAATTGTCCCTCTGTTGGCTGATTTCTTTTTCAAAGTACATATATTATTCAAAAATAAGCCTTGCATCATGTGTTTGAAATTTGCTTTCTCCTGCCAGTGCTAGTAATTCTCTCTAATAAGTATTCAGCTGAGAAAAAAAGATACTGATGCACCTCCATAACACCAGCACGCAGGTCATGGTCAGAGGCTGAAAGATTGCCAGGAAAGTAGTGATATATGTTGTGTCTCATTTCGAAGCCTGCACCCTCTGAATGTCACATTTTTCAGCCACATGTCACTGAGGCTGCCTCTTTTCATAAAAGTAACCATTTGTAGCATTTGGACCAATCAGACACACATTTGTTCATTAGATTTAACAAATCAATTATTCATTAGATTAACAAATTCGCTGGACGAACAGATTGGTTGATGGCAATTTAATTCTGCTACAGTTACTACTGGCAGCTGATATAAATAATTGTAATTAATATTAATTAACTGTAATTATTTATATACATTTCCCTTTTGAGCTAATTTGCTACACATTAAATTCCAAAGTATGAAAAAAATTTCAGCAACCCACACCTCATGAGGAATAACAGTCTATTTTATAATGGCTACTTTTCTGAAAAGAGACATGTACAGTATGTGGCTGAAAAATGAGACCTCTGGAGGGCGCAGCCTTCAAAATGAGACAGTAATAGTGATATTTTTTAAATCATGACTTCACACAAGTTGTAAAACACAGCTAATGATGGGGATGAATGATCTTATGTTCACCAATGATACATTTATCTGATCAAAAACACAGTCAAAACAGTAATATTGTGAAATATTATTACAATTTAAAAATAAGTGTTTTCTGGTTTAGTATGAACTGAATATGAATTGAATTTTCAGCAGCCATTACTCCAGTCTTCAGTGTCACAGTTGTAAAAATGTAAAAGTCCTTACTGTCACTTTCAACGTATGCATCCTTGCTGAAATTTCTTTAAAACATCTTACTGACCCCAAATTTTGTGTATAACAGTAGTGTATACTATATTCATTTATTCTTGCAACTCTTTCTACTGTTTATATTCCTGTGCAATAGAGCTACTTTGTTTCAATACTTGCATATACATTTTTTTATTTATACACAGAACATGGTTTAAATTTTTATGACTCATCTTAAGTTCTAGATTAGGACCAAACTACCCATAAACGTAATGTTTAATGCTATGAGCACCTTTACATTGCTGGCCAGAACCATCTTCTCTTGTAGAGCCTCTGCAAGCTGACACAAGACGACACCAGTGTCTAGTCTGTCCATGAAGTTATCCACTGTTATATTCAAACCTGTGCAGAAAGCATTCAGAGAAACAAATGAGCATTAAGAGAGAGCTAAAGAATGATAAACAAACTTATATTGCTAAAGAGTAAGGTTATAAAGGCACTGAATGAATTATAGTGCATGAACTGGTAGCTGTAATATACATATTGACACTATAGGCTCACATGCAGTTCTGTACAATTTTCAAGGTTGTTGTTTAACTTCCTTACAAATCCTCGTCTCCATCTTTTATTTATTGTTCTTTCACTACTTTAGGCAACTTGAAGATGCCCAAAAAAATCCTCTAAGTTCACTCGCTCTGAGATTCTCACGGCTGTGCAGACACATTCCTGAGGCCTGGGTGTTAAGTACATACAGATTCAAACACAGCAGTGGTACCGGAGCTTACCCTCATGGTGAAGGGGGAGTAGGGAGCCTGGGGAGGGGGAATACAGGAGGTGACGGCGGAGGGAAACCACAACAAATACAGAAATCCTGATGTGCAGAATGACTGGGCACGGTCATTAGCTCAGCGCAGGAGAGAAGTGTGTAAGAAAACAAAGAGGTCTCCTGCTGTCTGTCAACCACAGAGTCATAATGCTGCCCTGAGATCAGCAGGAACAGGAAGAGTTGACGAAGAGAAGCGTGTGTTAATAAGAGAAATCCCTCATCAGCTTCTTCGGTGAAAACAACAACAACTCTGATGTTGTATCTCGTCTCATCTGATTTCTCAGGTTGTTGTGTCTCTGCTGTATATTTAGGCATCACCAGCCTGTTGGCTTAAGGGTTTTGTGGTCTTTTGACCTCTTTACATGTTGTGTGTTGCTGTCATCAAGCCTCTTCAGCCCTCAGTTGTATTAAGAGGTTCTGACAACAAATAACATAGGTCAAGACATACAAGGACATGTATAAGACACTCGTATCCTGGTCTGTTTGAGAATGCAATTCCTGCTTTGTGGTCCCATCAGGGCAGCAGGAAAAACCCTTACCTGTTGGCTTGTGCAGGATTTAATCAGGATCTGATTGTGTAAAAAAGATTTTATCCTTTATACCAGTGATCCTCAAATCTGGCTCGCGAGATCCACTTTCCTGCAGAGTTTAGTTCTACCCTAATCAAACACACCTGAGTTTGCTAATCAATGTCTTCAGGATCATTAGAAAATCACAAGTAGGTTTGTTTGATTATAGAGTTGGAGCTAAAATCTGCAGGAAAGTGGATCTCGCGAGCCAGATTTGAGGATCACTGCTTTATACTGACACCAAGCAATGGGAATGGGGAAAATGGTAACTTTGAGATATATAGACATGAGTTGTTTGCATGAAAATTTAACAGAAAACTCTTAAATGGCGATACAGCAGTAAAGCTGAAATGAAAAGCACAGACAGAAAATAGCATTTGGAAAGCACAAGGCACGGTGTTCTCCTAGAACCGTGATAATAAAAGAAGTGGGCTGGTGATTTCCAATTCACATTTCCTTGACATACCTGAGCTGTAGTTAGAAGTTTCCATGTGTTAAACTGCCAGAGGAAATTTATGGTTGCTGTAAAAGACTCAGTGTTGTCCTAAAGATTAAGTTTTTAGTGTCCCCAGCCCAGGGACTACAATCAACCACTTCTGGTTAACTACACTCCTACATGAAGGCTCGTCCATATCCAAGCACTTCTCCACTCTTGTTGCTGGTGGTGATTTTGTGTGTGTGTGTGTGTGTGTGTGTGTGTGTGTGTGTGTGATATTCTGTGTGTGTGATTGTGATATTCTGTGTGTGTGTGTGTGTGAGAGTGATATTCTGTGTGTGTGTGTGGTTATCAACATGTTTTCAAAATATCTTCTTTTGTGTTCCACAAAAGAAATAAAGTCATACCGTTTTGACATGAGGGTGAGAAAATGATGACAGAAGTATTATTTTTAGATGAACTTTCCTTTTACAGTCATCAGTTTACAAATCACAATGATTATGCAAATATGAACATGCTTTTATTTTCTTACCAAGGATTCTGTTAAGCCAGGTGGCCAGATCTTCTTTCATGGGCAGTAGACTGGACTCATGCCTACACACCAGCCACTCGTTGTACTGGTGCAGACAGGAGAGGTCAGGTCCTGGTTCCCGCCTGGGACTGAAGGGACCATTCATAATGACTCGAGTATTGGACTGCTGGATAGAGAAGGAAAGAGGGGAACTTTACTGATTTAAAGTGAATGTTGTTTCCAAAATGATAACAAAACTACCAAAACCAACTGGCAGATATCTTTGGTATTTTTTGTTGCTTTTCAGCCTCTTTAATGTAACTTTTGATCAATTTAATGCAACCTTGATAAACAAAGGATTCATTTCTTTTTAACAAAAAAATCTTATTGACCCCACACTTTTGAACAGTTGTGTATGTTTTAAAAGAAACCAGACTATCAACTACAATTGGATCAAATCCATCACCTCTTCTAAGAAATAATCTAGCACACATACCCTCTGCAGCAATGGTCAGGCTGAATGGTCCTGAATGGACTATTAAATGTGCTGCACATATGAATTATAGCAGCACATCCAGTGCTTAATTTGTAAATGAAACATTGCCGGTGTTCTGACGATTTGTGCTACCCTGTCAGATTTTGCTACCTCCCATTAAAACAGATGGTAGCATAATGCGATAGCGAAAAGTGCTACCTATCAGATTTTGCTTCCGGCATGATATTAATAAGGTGTAAGGCTTTGTTAACATGTACACCTACCCCAACCCTAAAACTACCCTTACAGTAGGATAAATACAGTGGTGGTAACATAATCTGATAGGTAGCATTATTTGTCAGAACACCTGATCCAAATCAGCAGTTAAAAGGCGCCGTGACCGTCACTGACAATACAACGTCAGTTTTCCCGGAACATTCAATGGCGTCACTAAACGGTGATGACACAACTATAAGAGCATCGTTCACAAGTTTCTGCATGGACCTAACTATACAGCCTAGGTTTTCCAACCCTGGGTCAAAAATGGGTCGCCAGGATGACTAAAAGCAAATATATGTAAGTTACATTAAAAATTACAACATTTGTTTCCATAAAAATAAAATACAATCACAATTTTTATAGAAAAGGTATAAATATGCGAAATATATCTGACATAAATGATTAACAGATATAAAACAGATGTGAGGTGCGGCGATCCGCAAACAAGTTCACGAAAAGGAACCCGAGAACCGAGATGACAGAACGCGCATCCTGTTTGTTTGCTTAATTACAAAAACCCAAATGTTCTTTTTATTGCAAGTGTGCAAAAATAAAAGTAAACATTTACATTTAGCAGACGCTTTTATCCAAAGCGACTAATAAATGAGGCCAATGGAAGCAATCAAAATGAACAAAGGAGCAATGATACGCAAGTGCTCAGCTTAATACGTAGCAAGTTTTTTTTTATTATTATTATATATATAGGCCTAATAAAAAAGAAAACAGATAGAATGGAAAAAGAATAAAGCAAGCTAGTGTCGAGGCCTTTTTTGCTTTTGTTAATTGTACAATAAATAAAAAGAAAATAAATAGATAGAATACAAAAAGAACAGAGACGCTAGCTAGTTTTTTTATTATTATAATTTTTTTTTTACTCTTTGCGGGTTGTCTTACTCTTATCTGTATGACCAAAAATTGAGTATTTAATGTGTTAGCTGTTTGATCGCGCCGGCGCCTCGCACAAACACCACATATTATAGCAGTTCAAACTTGCCATCGCAGTCTGTTCATTATCAAAATAAAATACAGTCAGCCAAACATATCGATTTAAAGAGTCCGTAGTATAACCGGTCTACAGCTGCTGTAATGCCAAGCGCATTTTTTGCGCATGTGAAGAGGATGATTATTCCGTCTATACGCAAACGCGCATGAAGCCTAGTCTACATTATAAGCAGTGTTGGGGGTAACTCGTTACAAGTAATGCGAGTTACGTAATCAGATTACTTTTTTCAAGTAACTAGTAAAGTAACGCATTACTTTTTTAATTTACAAGAAAATATCTGAGTTACTTTTTCAAAAAAGTAATGCCAGTTACTTTGTTTTCCCATTTATTGACTGATAAGTCTCCTGTCCCCATATTGGGAGAAATCGGAAGTGCAGAGGAATTGTGTGCGCTGTGTGAACATGATGTTACTGTAGTTCTAGTCTAAATGAATGTGCATTAATTCATCCCACTCACAAAAAACAGATTTAGTATTCATCAAAATGAATTAAAACAGTGAAATGCAAACTCAGAATACAGTTTAACATTGAAATACATTGCGAAAATGGAAACATTGGATTTGTGCCGAATGAGAGAGGTACGTGAGCCCAACGGTAGGCTACTTTCCGTTTCGCTTTGTTTTGGTTTCTTTAGCTTTATATATATTTTTTTTCATTCTTGATCTGTTTCTGCATACCATTACATTTAAATTATTTGTTTTCGAGTGAGGAGAACTAAGCTATTATAGTGTTTATAATGTTTATAAATTATAATATTTCACTTTATTTGGTATTATTTCTGGTATTATTACACTCTCTCCAAACGTTCCGCTGCTCACAAAAGAGTGGAGAGAGTGGGTTAAGCAGTAGCACCAATCTACAAGAGCGATTTGAAGAAAGCTGATTGGTCAATAATATGTTGAGGACCAATACATAATCAACAAATCATGCTCCAAATACATCTACATAAACCCGCAATCGCTCTGTCTCGTATGCACGCACACACTGTCACGCTCTAATGCACTTGTTAATGCTGGATCTTTAAAAACAAATACCGGAACGCAAAAATCCAAAATCTGACATTTTCCAGAACAGGATCCGGCAGGATCTGGCTCAAATTAAGCACTGAGCACATCTGTTCTCTCATTGCTTCTGTATATAGGCCACTGTCTGATTTTACCTCCACCACTGCTGGATTTACACTGTACCTAATGATGCACATCTACCACATTCCAACTGTTCTTTAAAACTGCAAACAATGAAAGACAAATATTAACTTTGCTGACAGGCAAACAGGCTAAGGATGAGATGGGGATACTTGTGATTTAAGTTAATGCTACTACTATTTTAAAGTTAGCTGTTTCCATGTCTAACTGATGCCAGGTATTGTACAATATATCATAAGGATATTAAAATCTTCTCTATAGATTGCAATTACAATGAGGGAAAACTGCGTAAATAAAAGATTTTAAACAATTTTGGAGGTGTGCACTCAATTACTGTGCAGTAAAAACCATTAAGATTTGTCATGCTAGACTGGATGGAAAAAAGCGCAAACACAAACAGACAAATACAGGCTCAGACACACTCTCAGGGTAAGATTTAATGTACAAGTCTTACTTCAATCCCTAGCAACTGAAGAATGCCCTGTCCTGTAATTTCCCCCCAACTCAGGCAACCATTCATCAGAGGGGCCTTCACATGTAGAAACATGCCCCTGCTTCCCATAACTGCCACGGCATTGTAAGGCAGAGGAAGGAGAGTAGACACCTGCAGGGCAGATGTGTGCAATTGAAACAGGCGCAGAGAGAAATAGTGGTAAATGTAAGTCCAACCCCATTTATTTTATTAAAGGGGTCATTGGATGCTACATGCACTTTTACAAATTGTTTGAACTGAAATGTGTGTTGGCAGTGTGTGTACACAACCACCCTATAATGATAAAAATCCACCCAGTGGTTTTTTTAATCTACTTAAATCTTTACCCCTTTCTCAGATCGAGCCGATCTCAGATGCTTGTCTGTGACGTCACAAAAACAGTAAAAAAGGTATTTTTTACACTACCATTGAGAACTTTTAACCAAACTATGTTACAGACTTTTCATTAAGACCCTAAAGAATCATATCAACTTGTGGAAAATGGGCATCCAATGACCCCTTTAAAGCTGGATGACCAGAAGCTCTCGAGTAAGCAGAGGGGCCTAATGTTGGAGAGCTTTCCAGGAGAAGGCTGTTGAGGAAGAGGAGAGTAAGACACATACACTCTGGAACAATTAGTTGTTGTCCTCCACAACATAGAGTGAGTGGTGATGAGATGTTAGGTATGTTAAGAGTGAGCAGGGAGAAATCGCAATGAAAGCTTTCATAGAAGGTCTACATCCCAGAAGAGCTCAAGATCAAAGGAGAAAGAAAATGAACTTTTGTATCAAAGGTTTTTACTGATAGAAGATAGCGCAACATTGAAACAACACACATGAATAAAAAGAGGATACAAAGATGGCTGGAACTATAAAAGGCTTTAATAAAAGTAGATGAAGTACATACATCCTATAGTTCAGTTAATGGATAAATATCCTGATGATATATCACTCCAGTAAAAAATCTCCTTTTACATTTCTATTTGAGTCATTTATTTATTTTTTTACATACTCCATCCACCTGTTCAAAATATGGAGCATGTCAAACAGATAGCATAGATCTTAAAGGTTAACGGTCAGTCTGATGTTAATATTAATTATTATGATTCGGACATGATCATAAGAGTGGTTTGAGTACACCAGTTGGAGTACTTATTGTACTCCAACTGGATGAATCAATGAGTTGTTGACTGCTGCAAACAAATCAGATTAATTAATTAATCACTGGCTGTGTCCGAAATTGCATACTCTCTGAGTAGGAACTTAAAGTATTAAAAAGTTATATTTAGCATGAATGTGTGTAGTATAAATGAAATCTGGAGATACTACATCCATCATGCTGCCATTGTCATCATTAATTAATCACTGGCTGTGTCCGAAATTGCATACTCTCTGAGTAGGAACTTAAAGTATTAAAAAGTTCTATTTAGCATGAATGTGTGTAGTATAAATGAAATCTGGAGATACTACATCCATCATGCTGCCATTGTCATGTGCCCTATATCAACCTCAGTTGCGTTGCCTCACTACCATTCACAAATCCTCTCCCGTGGCCTCATGGATAGTAAAGTGTCCATCGGATGGGCACTTCAGAATCTCACCGGATGTAGTATGTCATTGGGGTACTGTTTTATGAATACTGTTAATTCAGACATACTACTCTTTTCACATACTGTTTTTCACCTACACTTTAATAAGGAAATATGCATATTCAGTGAACCAGTTTAGACAGGTCATTAAAAAAATCAACTCAAAAAATTCATTTATGAATCAGACATCACTTTTGCGTCTTTGTGCAGGTCTCAATTTCTTCACTTTAAAATACGACAGTGACGTAAAAAGTCACATATTATGCTTTAGTAAAGTAGAAGTTTCCCAAAATGAAAATAATCTACAATCCTGAAGTACAGATACTCGAACAATGTATTTAATTATACTGTATACAGTAAAAATACATCAATACTGTCCGCAGCTGTATCTAGACTAGAGCACCATCATGCCCTTGAAGCACACTACAATTCCACAATTATTGTTCAGTCACATTCCTGAAAAATAAAAAATAGGTATGGCAAATAAACTAAAACATGATATATTATTTAATCATGACAGAGATCTGCCAATCAGTGTTATTTTTGAGCACAACAGAGTGTGACTTACAATGATGATGTAGAAATGTGCAAAAGTAATACACAGAATTGGCAGAATGGATGATTAAAGAAAAGCAAAACATGAACATGCC